GTCGTCGATGTCGTCGATGTCGTCGATGTCGTCGATGTCGTTGTCGTCGCCGCCGCCGCCGCCGCCGCCGCCGCCGCCGCCGCCGTCGTCGTCGTCGTCGTCGTCGTCGTCGTCGTCGTCGTCGTCGTCGTCGTCGTCGTCGTCGTCGATGTCGTCGTGCTCGTCGGCGCCCCCGTGCGAGGGCGAGGCCGGCGTGCTCCGCGGGCAGGAGCTAGCCACGGTGGCCGAGTCGCAGGGGCTGCTGGAGGCGGACGCGGACTGCGACGACGCGCCCGGGCCCAGCTCAGGTTTGGCACCGTCCTCCAGTCGGCGACCACAACGGGTGTGGCTATGCCCAGAAGTGGTTTGCGATCGGCGCCAGTGGGGCTTGGGGGGTCACAACGTTGCGCCAGAGGTTTGACGGGCCCTGGTCGGGGTGCCGCAGAGATCTCTGTCGAGATCCTCGCCCGCCCCACCAGGCGCTGCTCGCCAACCACACCCTGTGCAAACCACACCCCGCGGAGTCGCCGATCCAGGCCTTCCAAATGGGGTCCGAGCAGATGGGGTCGGTGGATCGCGCCGCATCGCCGATGCATCGGCGATGCGGCTCGATGTGGGGCCAGGTTTTCTCCACGCCGACGGCGCGGATGCGTCGCCGACGTCGCCGATACATCGCCGATGCATCGGTGATGCATCGACGATGTGGCGCGATCCTCCGACCCCATCTACTCTGACCCCATTTGGGATGCTTTTACCATCCCCACTGTCGGGGGAGGCCACGAGGGGGGTGATGACTAGGGGAATGATTGTCGTGGCCGTGGCCGTGATATCTCCCTGGATTTCATGGTCCCCTCTTCTTCTTCTTCTCCTTCCTGCACGTCCCCTGGTCCCCCCTCGTCCGCGCACGTGCGTCGGGCCATGATCTGCGAACTCCCCTCTTGGACACCTCCCCCCTGGACCCAGGCGATCGCAGACATGGATCAAGGGGGCGTGGATTAGCGACGGGTTCCGTTTTCCGGCCGCACTTTGGGGAGGGCGCCTTCCCCGATCCATGTTTGCGCGCCCCCGATGGACGCCCCCGATCACCGATGCCCATCCCCACTGGGTCATGATGCCTCAGCCCCACGAGCCCACCCTGCCAGGTGGGGAAAGGCCCCGCGAAGCCCGAAGGGAACAACATCTGTCTGTATCTCTCTCTCTCTCTCTCTCTCTCTCTCTTTTTTTTTTTTTTTTTTTTCTTTTTCTCTCTCTCTCTCTCTCTCGCTCACGTATGTACATATGTGTGTATATACACCTATATACACAGATGCATCTACATTTTGAATATGTGTATATATTTGTTTATATACAACTACTTGTTTATATACATATAGTTGTAATACATATATCTATGTACATTTTTGTATTCATAGTTCTCCCTATCTGTGTGGGCGGGGGGGGAGTCGACCAGTCAGGCCAAGGCCATGCAAAGGGGGGTGGGGACTGGTAAAATGACGCTCGGAGGTGACGACCACGGCAAGAACCTCGAGTGCTCGTGGAGATCGAAGAACAAAGACTGCATACTCTGCGTTTGGTCATAAGCGTGGGGGCGGGGGGCACCCCCGCCGACAGCCCCAAATCGAACCCCGTTGCGGGCAAGTGTTGCCGCGCGACGTCGACCCCAGTTGCCCCACGCCACACGTCGCAAGAACCGGACCCCCGGCCCACAGGCGCGGACAGGTTGACGTTGGCCCCTGTCGGGGACGGCCCCCCCACGCTTGTTACCCACCTCCGAGTACCCATCGGTCGTTGAAAGTCGGTATTTCTGGATTCCCAGAACTTAATCTACTTCAAGCGCCTTCCTATTTCAAGAATCGATATGCTTTTGCTGCGTTTTGGTACTCTCTGGGCGGGCCCGAACCCAATCTACTTTATCCGTCTTCCTACTTCATCTTTCTACCTACTTCTTCCGACCGATGGGTAAGCATACACTCTTCCAGAGGTTCCGCGCGGGTCTCGTGGGTCTGCGATGGGCCCCGCGTGCCAGGGGCATCCGGCGCTTGCCCAAGAGATCCGCCAGACATTTTGCCCAACATTTTCCTCCTCATCCTCCTCATCCTTTTTCTCTTTCTCTTTCTCCTCCTTCTCCTCCTCCTACTCCCTCCTCCTACTCACTCCTCCTCCTACTCCCTCCTCCTCCTCCTCCTCCTTCTCCTCCTCCTCCTCGTCCTCCTCCTCTCGAAGACCTCCTATTGACCACGCGCAGGGGGCGGATATGGGGGAGGGGGGAAGGCTTCTTAGAAGCACCCCTGCTTCTTAGAAGGCGCGGGCCTTGTCTGCAGATGCAGGGCCACCGTCTTCTAAGGAGCAGCCTCCTTCTCAGAAGCCTTCCCCCCTCCCCCATACCCCCCTGGTGCGCGCCGCCAACCTGTTCCTCCAGGAGGTCCCGCGCGGAGGGGCGCCTGGCTGGACTGGACGACCTCTGAGGGGCTGCTGGTTATGCTCTGGGAGCGGCCGTGGCCGCGCGCTGAGGGCGGCGTGAAAACGGTCAACTCTTTAGCGTTTCGCGCGCTCCCGCGAGCCCGAGCAGAACTGCTGCCTTGAGAAAGTGGAGGGAAGAAGCATGCACGAGTGAAAGGAAGATCGGGAACATCAGTCAAACCGGAGGCGCCAGTTGAGCAGTCCTCAGAAATGGCCCGAGTGGGCCCTTCCAGGAGCCTCGTGTGGGCCTCCTCTCGAGGTCAACTTGCGGCCTTCGGGACGTGGGGTCCTCTTTGGTGCCTTTCGGGCCTTCTTTGGGCCGTGCCATGCCTGAGGCCTTCGCCCAGAGAGGTGGGACACATAATTTTGGTACCCCTTGGGGGCAAGAAGAAGTGTTTCTTGGGACCCTCTGAGGGATCGCTTTGTTCCTTTCGATGCTCTTGGGAGCCCTGTAGGTCCTCTCGGGGTTGCCCCTGGGAGCAGGTTATGTGGAAAGAGTTCCGTCGAAAGGATCTCGGATGATATTCTTTGGAAGTGGTCCAACGGACCAGGCTCCGTGGAGGTATCGTGGAATGACTTTCGGGAACAATGACTCCGCAGAGAAGATCTCCGCAGAACTGGTCTGCATGGAAAAAGGTTCAGAGGGAAGTTGTTATCTCGAGTCGGTTCTGCTAAAGCGGTCCCTGTGGAACAAAACTTGCATTAGAGGAGAAGGATGTAGTCCAGGGATTGTGGTTGGATGGGAGTCCAGGGATTGCACTGGAGCGTCACCCAGTTCCGAACCCATCGGTCCTGGCTTGATCATCTGCCCCTTCGGGTGTGGTGTAGCATCCTCTGCTTCTTGTTCGAGAGGCGAGTTCCAATTCTTTCTCGGAGCTTGCGTGCGCGATCTCCTCGCGCTCGGGGGGAAACAAACACATCCTGGCGAAGGACCCAAACATATGTGGTTGTGAGTACCGCGTTGTGGGTGCCGCTTCCGGTGGGCCACGCAACGCGTGATGGGGCGTGCCGTAATGGGTGGGGGGGACGCATGCGGGCGGTTCCACTGGGGCCTTCGCTGGAGCTCCCTGAGGGGCCACGACGCCCTGTAGTGGGTTGTGGAGACGCATGGTGGCGGTCCACCTGGGGCCTTCTGTGGAGCTCCCATATGGGGCTCTTTGGGAAAAAACCATAACCAAGCCAGTAGGGACTGGCACGCCAGGCACCCCTGTGATAAATCAGCAGGGGGCGGCGGATCCGATGGCCGTCTGCACTTCCCGCCGCCGTGCCTGGGTTGTAGGCATGAAGCTTATTGGATGTTCGTTAGGACCTCGTGGGAGGCCTCTCGGGGGCCTCTTGGAAGGAGTTTTGAGGCCTCTCGGAGGCAGTTTTGGGACCTCCTGGGGTCTCTCATGGGCTTGCCTCTTTGGGGCCTCCTGGGGTCTTCTGGGCGCCTCTGGGGACCTCCTGGGGCGGAAGGCTCGGATTTTCGCTTCGTGTTCCCTCTCTTGGGCCCCTTTTGGGGCTGTCTTGCGGCTCTCTTGGGCCGTCTTGGGGCCCTCTTGTGCCGTTTTGGGTCCTCTTGGAGGCCTCTTGGGCCGTCTTGGGGGGGCCTCTTGGGCCGTCTCGGAGCGTCGGTAAGCCGAAAAGGTGAGAAAACCAAGCCCAAAAGAAGCCCAAGGACAATCAATGGCTTTTGCCTCTCGGGGCCCTCTTGGGAGGCCTCTTGGAGGCAGGCCTCTTGGGGCGTCTTGGAGGCCTCTTGGGTTGCTTGTGGGTCATCTTGAGCGTCTTGGAGCGATCGCTCGGCGACTCGGGGCCCTCTTGGACAGTCTTCGGGGCCTCCTGGCCCGGCTCGGAGCCCTCCCGGGCCCGACGGATCCATGCGACAGGCCGCGGGGCAGTCCAGGGGGCACGCGCCAAGCCCTAAGAGAGATTTTCGGAATTTGGGGTCCGGGCCCCTCTGAGGACTCCTCACAGCTGAGGGCGGAGGATCCAGGGATTGGGCGAGGGACCCGGGGGACGCGCCCACTCCGCGCCCAGAGGCACGGTGACGCAGTGTTGCGTCCTGACGATCCTGAGTTGTGCCACAACGCCGTTCCTGGGACTTCGGCACCGCGAATCAACGCAACTGCTGCACCCTGACAGTTCGCGATCCTACCATAATGCCATTCCTTGGACGTCAACCACAATAATCCTTGAACCTGTTGTAAACTCTTAAGATGACTGTGCGCGGCGCTAAAAGCGGACTGCCACATTTTGAAAATGAGACGCCTTCCATTTGTGAAACGATTGCACTATTTCTAGACTGTGCGCGGCGCTGAGGCGAGATTCACATTCTGCAAACGAGCCGACCTCCATCCGTGAAGTACGAAGAATGTGCGCGGCGTTAAGGCGAAATCAACGTTTTGAAAAACACCTGCCTTCCATCTGTGAAAAGGGAAGGGGGAGGAGGAGGAGGAGGAGGAGGAGGAGGAGGAGGAGGAGGAGGAGGAGGAGGAGGAGGAGGAGGAGGAGGAGGAGGAGGAGGAGCAGGAGAAGGAGCAGGATGAGGAAGGGTGGCGAAATCTCCCGACGGCCAGGTGCTCCGGTACCAGCCACACTTCACCGTCTTCAGCATGGGCAGCGGAGGAACGCGTCAGGGCGGGAGGGGTAGGGGAACGGAGGGGAGGAAATGAGGAAGAGGAGGCAGGCTGCTGGTGGTCGGATGGTGAGGTGCCATGTGTTGCGGTGTGTGTATGTGTGGGGAGAGGGGACAAGGAGGGAGGGATGGCGGGAGCGGGAAGAACTGGATGATGTTTCCAGCTCCAATGTGCGAAGGCAGCGCCCAGACCACCAGCAAGCTCTGCACGGACATGTCTGGCAAGTACTGCGCCGAGGACCCCGACGGCGATGGCCCCGTCGAGGGCAAGGACGCACCCCTCCCACGGGGAGCTTCCTCCAGCAGGGCGCCTCGTGCGCCCTCCTCCCTCCGCCCCCCTAGTCACAAGTGGCGCCGTGGCTGTGGCCCCCGTTCGGCCCGAGTGCAGCTTGCCCTTCGCGGCGGAAGGTTTCCGGAGCTCGAAGGAGGCCCAGGAGGAGGAAGAGGAGGGGGATGAGAAGGAGGGCTCGAAGGAGGCCCAGGATGAGGAAGAGGAGGGGGATGAGAAGGAAGGGAGAGAGGAGTAGGAGGAGGGGGAGGTGCAGAGTGCGGAGTGGAACACAGGAGGGGGGTACGGGTCAACGGGTCACCCTTGAACCACGTGGGGTGCGTGCCGCCCACGCATGCGAGATCGCAGTTTCGTTGCAGCTTGCGGTTGTGTTCGACTCAGGAGGGGCCTGTGCTCGTTGCCGTCGCCACACGTGCCGCCTCGTCTCCCTCTCCCCGCCCGTCCAGGACGTGCTCGAGGAGGACCTCCGCCAGCTGTGCCTCCACGACCAGACGAAGGTGCGCGGGCGCAGCAGGCAGTACCAAGACCACCCGACGCCCCCCGAGTTCGCGGACGGGGGGGGGAACCCTCAGACCTGGGCGTCGCAGGAACCCTCAGGTACTTCCCCCACCTCCCCTCGTTGCGGAAGACAGGTTTTTCAGGTACGCGTGTTCTCGCACCTTTCCTGCCTTACTCTGTGAGGTTGTGGGGTTGTATGGGGCGTTCTTGCTGTCCTGGCTCACCCTTAGCATGCTATGGGACCTCCGCTTGGCATCAGTGTTCTTTTGTCACCCTCAGGGGCGAAACCTCGCAGCCCGCTAGTGGTCACTGACCTTGGTCGGCATGGAAAATAGAAATAGAGGAGGAGAAGGCGCGGGGTATTGAGAAATGGGGGATGGAAAATTTGTTGCATGCAGGTGGTTTCGGCGCCGTCGCCTGGCGCATTCCTCGATGCATGGCCGCTTTGTGGGCGCATGGGCGCCTCCTGCGCAGAGGGGCGCTGTGAAATTCGCTGCGCGAGCTGATCTGCTAGCCTCCCTATGCTATCCCCTTTTTTCCGTCCTTTCTGAGATGAGGGCGGTGGTTGGCGACTACAAAGGGTGAGCTTACGCTGGGGTGTGGTTTGCGATCGGCACCGTTTGGACCTTGGGAGGACGATGCTGTGCTCGTCGGGCCTCGTCGGGGCGCGGCGTAGATCTCTATCGAGGTCCCCGCCCGCCCCCCAGGGTGCTCCCAGAGTGCCCCCCGGGTGCCGGTTGCAAACCACACCCTCTGGAGTCTTTGACGGGGGGGGGGGGCAGCGGGGTGCGGTGGGACACCCTGGCTGGGGGGAGCAGAGGGGTCTGGGGCATGAAAGGAGTATAGAAGAGGCAGTGTCAGGCAGGCCTGAAACCAAGATAGCCTCGTTGCAGAACGGTTCGTGTTGCCCTGAGGGCGCTCTGGGGCGCTCGGAAATGGCCTCGGTGACCGATACACCCTCCAGACCTGCCGGCTTTCAGAGATCCCCGATCTGCTCTCGTCCGGCTTCATCCTCGTCCTGCCGTCGTCGTGCAGCAGGTCAGGAGATTGGGCCAGGGGTGAAGGCGGGGGTGGCCAGGGACTGGCGTGGCACGACGGCAGTTGAAAGTGTGTCCGAGTGATCGTAGTAGTAGCAGTAGCAGTAGCAGTAGCAGTAGCACTAGTAGTAGTAGTAGTAGTAGTAGTAGTAGTAGTAGTAGTAGTAGTAGTAGTAGTAGTAGTAGTAGCAGTAGCAGCAGCAGCAGCAGCAGCAGCAGGAGCAGCAGCAGTAGTAGTAGTAGTAGTAGTAGTAGTCGTAGTCGTAGTCGTAGTCGTAGTCGTAGTCGTAGTCGTAGTCGTAGTCGTAGTCGTAGTCGTAGTCGTAGTCGTAGTCGTAGTCGTAGTCGTAGTCGTAGTAGTAGTAGTAGTAGTAGTAGTAGTAGTAGTAGTAGTAGTAGTAGTAGTAGTAGTAGTAGTAGTAGTAGTAGTAGTAGTAGTAGTAGTAGTGCGAATTTGTTCTACTGGTGCGCCTATCCAGTCCTCCTCGCGCAGACCCAGGCTGTGCTGGGCCTCTGTGTCGAGACGTTGCGGGCCTGGACCTGCCCTGGCCAGCACGACCTCCTGCGATGGGTTGCCGCCCAGTGCTCCAGATGGGCATCTCGAGTGCACGCTGGCCAGCTACCACGAGAAGCGAACATGTATAGCGCGGTGCTGTATTCGCTGCCCTGCTCCCTCGGTGATGTTTCCCATGATGGCCAGCCATGTATGACTCGACGCTGTTTTCGCCGTCGCACGCTCTGTCTAGGCAGTGCGTGTAACCCTCAGCTGACCTCCACTGCTCATGTGTATCATAGCGCATGGGGATCGACCGCAATAGGAGCTAACAAACATGAGCTCGAGCTCTCATCACAGCCGCCGGTGCAAGGCAGCGGAGCGCTGCGAGGAGGAAGCAGAAGCGGGCGACAGCGGACAGGCATGACTCGACGAGGGGAGGCGGCTCCCTGGAGGGTTCTGGGAGGACAAGTACTGGAGCTACATCGAGCAGTTTCAGAACAAGTGCCCCATCACCGACGCTGCCGGGGACGAGAGCAAGCAGTTCGGCCCCGTGTGCTCGTACCAGCTGATGAGAGACGTCCCAGCGGGGGGTGGGGGACGGCGGCGAGACGCAGACGTTGTCTTGGATACCTTCCTTTCTTCCCTTTCCCTCTCTTTCCCCCCTCATCCCCCTGCCCCTCCCCCTGCCCTCCCCCCTCCTCCCCCTGCCCCCGCCCTATCCCAAGGCTTCCCGCGGTTCGGTCGGTTCGGCTGCGTCGCAGTCGGTCGCACTCGGCCAGTTCGGTTTGGTCAGTTGCTGCGTCGTTGCCGCGCCGCTGCGCCCTTGCAGGCCGCTTGTGGCCCGTCGGTTTCGGTCGGGCTCAGCTTGCCTGTTGGCTCGGTTGGTTTTTCGGCTGCTGTCGCTGTGGACGGCTTTGGCCCCCCCCCGCCCCCCCCACTTCGCCCGCCCCCCCTCTCTCTGCCTTTCCCCCCTCCCCCCCCCCTGCCGCTGCCGCGCATGACCGGGCCACGGCAGGGGGCGTGGCGTGAGCGTCTCAGTCGGCACGGTCGTGGCACGGCCACGGATGGAGATTCCCCGGTGCGAGCGGCCATCCCCCCCCCCGCCCCCGTGTCCTCCTCGCGTCGTGAAGAAGCACGACGGGAGGTCTTTGGCCATTTTCGGCCGCCTGGATGCCCTCGCTGGGCTCCGGGGCCGTCAAAAACGTCTCGGGATGGAAAGCCAGCCCCTGGGCAGGGAGGTGGTCAAGACTTCGGGAACAGAACTCGGAGGTGGGAACGACCACCGCCCCGTCTAACTTTGGAAGAGCTTGTGCGCGACGTGGCGGGGAGCCCAGCAGAAGGGCCGAGGCGACATAGCATCACCAGCGCCTCCCGCCGAGACCATCCCCCCCACTCCCTGAGGCTGCTGCTGACGGTGGCTGCGATGATGGAGGTGTTGGTGGTGATCGTCGTTTTTCAGGTGTCGAGGCTTCTTCTTCGTTTTCCTGCTGCGGCTGCTGCTACTCGTAGTAGTGGTGGTGGTGGTGGTGTTCGTCGTCATCATCGCCCTCCTCCCCAAGACGCGTTGGCTCTGTCGCGCGATGTCGGGGTCCGTCTGCCCCCGAGGGCACCTGCTCTGCCACAGCTGCAGAAAAGCACCCCAGGGCTCAAACATTTCCAAGCACAAGCAAAAACGCTTGCCGCTCCCGCAGGACTCAGAGCTGACCGGCTGACCAGCTGAGCAGTCCGTCTTGAGACCCGGAGCGGCGACGTCGCAAGGATGACCACGGGGAGGAGGAGGAGGAGGAGGAGGATGAGGAGGTGGAGAAGGAGGAGGAGGAGGAGGAGGAGGAGGAGGAGGGAGACGCGGCCGTTGTGTTCGGCGCAGTGCAAGGTCGGAGAAAAGGCAGATCCGTCTGTGGTGTGCTCCTGTTCTAGAGCAGGCCCCACATTGTACTCCAAGAGGAAGGGTCGGACGGAGCTAGCAGGAGGATAAATCCGTTCCAGAGCGTCGCTCTCAGAGCGTGCCGGAATGCTCTCAGAAGGCCGCGGCGCCCGAGATATCCGCCAGAACCGCCAGATCTCAGAGATTCTCGATCTGTCCTCACCCGGATTTGTCAGAGGGAGCCCCAGGTCGGCCTGAGCGAGGCGGACATCAGGAGCATCCGGGAGTGCGCCGACGTGAGCCGCAACACGGAGGAGCGCCCTCCCCGCCCGCGGCCCGCGCATGCCGAGCTGCCGCCGCGGGCCAGCCGCGCGCGTCCAGGCGCGCCTCCCCGCGTGTCTGGCATGCCTCTGGGGCCCGCGGGGCCACTGGTGTGGTCAGGGGCAACGTCAGGGGGGGGGCCCCAAACGGGGTGGTGACCCCACCGTGTGGTGAGTCGGTGGGGAATCGGGGTCACCGCACGGTTTTGGGGACTCGGGTCGTTTTCCAAGGACGTCTCGGGCGACTGGGGCATCCAGGGTCCCAAAACCGTGCGTTGACGGACCGCGCGGTGAGGTCTTGGGGGATTTCGAGGTCACCGCACTGTTTGTCACCGCACCGTTTCGGGACTCCAAGGATAGGGGGGATAGGCACAGGGGGGGATGCATCGACCCCCAATCGCCAATTGATCGCCGATAGGGACCCGATAGCCTTGACCTGCCCAGGCAGGTGCGGATTCGCTATCGGGGCCCTATCGCCGATCTATCGGCGATGTATCGCCGATTCTAGGTCGATGCATCCCTCCCTATGCCAGTCCCCCCCCTATCGTTGCCCCTCATGTGGGGTGGGCAGGCTCGGTGCGGGGGGTCGGTCAGGGCGGGGACGATGACGATGACGACGATGACGATGACGATGACGATGACAGTGACGACGATGATGGCATTGACGATGACGACGCTGACGATGACGATGACGATGACGATGATGACGATGATGACGTTGACGATGATGACTATGACGACGATGAAAGGTTTCGCAAGCTCAGGCCTTCGGAGGCGCAGCGGCCTCAGCGGACGCGCCCCTCGCACTAAGGATCCAGCAGAGAGCAAGCGATGGCTTGGCCCCGCATGGGGACGGCGGGTGCCCATGCGCGCTCCAGCGCGTGAGCTGGCACCCGGGACGATGATGACGATGACAATGACGATGACGATGACGATGACGATGACGATGAAGATGGTGATGCTGATGGCGATGGGATACCCATTCCAGAGCGTTCTTCGGCGGCGAGCGAGGTGGGAGGTGAGAAGGAGAAGGCCTTCTCAGAAGGCGGCGGGACTTCTCAGAAGCCCTCTGGCCTTCTGAGAAGTTCCCTGCGTCTTCGGGGAAGGCTTAGAAAGCTTCTCAGAAGGCCAGGGGCCTTCCGAACATTCTGAGAAGGCCCGCCCCCTCTCGGATGCCTGGTGGTTTTTGGGTCATAGCTCGGCTCTCCGGCGGTCGTTCGGGACGATGCGGGCACCCGTGGAACGCTCTCGGCGAGGCGCAGCTGCAACAGCATCCCGAGGATGGAAAACCGCCGAGAGTCTACGAAAACGACCGAAAACCTCGAAACCCGAGCCTGGTGGGACTTCCCCCTCGGGCTCGCCGCCGAGCCTTCGCCGGCGCCGCCGACGCGCCTTCGTCGCGCGAGCCTGTCGCAGCCCCTCGTCCACTCCAGTGCCAGCCACGGCCAGCGGCCCCGCGCGGCCCGGACGGTCCCCCAGAGGCCTAGGGCTCGCGCAGCGGCGCCGCCGCGCTCATTGCGGGCAGCGGGCCTCCAGAGCTCGGTGGCGAGCCCGGGGGGAAGCGAGAAGGGGCGGGCCCTCTCAGGATGCTCGGAAGTCCTCTGGCCTGCTGAGAGGTTTTCGGATTTTTTGTAGGCTCTCATCGGTTTCCCAGATTCGGGATGCTTTCCAGCGGCTGCCCCTCGCGGAGCGCGTTCGGGGGGTGCCTGGATTGTCCCGAGAGACCGCCGGGGAGCCGAGCTATGACCCCAAAACCACCAGGCGCCCGAGCGGGTTCTTCTGAGACATTTTCTAAGCCTTCCCGGTTCCCCGAAAACGCAGGGAACTTCTCAAAAGGCGCGAGGGCTTCTGAGAAGTCCCGCTGCCTTCTGAGAAGGCCTTCTCCTTCTCACTTCCCCCCTCGCTCGCCGCCGAAAGGCGCTCAAGGCTGAACTCCGCATGATAGAACGACGTGGAAGCACCGAGGACACAGTGACGCCACATGGCCCGACGGAATTCAACCTTGGACGATCGGGGCCGCGATCGGCTCAAGATTGAACGATCGACGCGGTGTCAAAGGCCGTTGCCGGCTCAAGGTTGCACGGTCGACGCGGTGTCAAAAGCCGTTGCGCGCGCCGACGCCGCGCGAACCTATCATACCACCGCAACGAAGGCCAGGGGGGTCCTGGAGGAGAGGGTCGGGCGGGCACAGGACCGGGCTCCGGGACGCTCTCGGAGCGTGCTGGAGCGCTCGGGGACGGCCGCGGCGCCGGATGCATCCTCCAGACCAGCCGGATCGCAGGGATCCCCGACCTGTCTTGGTCCGAGTTTGTCTTGGTCCTGGCCTCGTCTTCGAGGGGATGCATCGACCCCCGATCGTCCACTGGTCGCCGAGGAGGGTCTGATGGCGCAACCCAGCCCGGCAGCGTGCAGATTCGCTTCTCGGGTCTGGTATGCCTCCATCACCACCCACCAAACCACCCCAACTCAACCCGAAGCCCCAATTTGCCCTCCATTTCCAAAGGGGGGTGCGTCGGGGAACATTGACGAAACACGTGGAACCCGTCCCCCCCAGCCCGAAATGTGGCTCTGGTAGGTGGTCACTCCAGGCCTCCCGACTGGGGTCGAAGTGGATGGTGTCCGAGGATCGCGCCAGTATCTGAGGATCGCACCGCATCGCCGATGCAGCGGCGAGGCAGCGCGACCTGGAGTCCGATCTCTACATCCTGCCGTCGCCGATGCTCACCGAGCGCACTGCACTACTCGCAAAGAGCCTACTCGCAAACGCCTGGAAAACACATTTTGCCTCGATGTGATGGCTCGTAGATCCCCGCGGCGGATCCAAGCCATTTGCGAGCAGTTACTCTGCGAGTCGTGGAGCGCGCCTGTGTGGATGCATCGCCGATGCGTCGGCGAGGTGATGCGATCCACTGGCCCCCGCCTTCTCCTCGCCGGCTCCTGGGGGCCGCCGGCATGAAGCGCAGCCGCAGGAGCAAGGGCAGCCCCTCCAGCTCGCCTGGGGTCCTCCATGGAAGGAGCAGCCCCTGGCCTCCCTCGGGGGGCTCTTGGCAGTGCCATGTTGCCCTGGCCATTCTGCTGGGCTCCCCGCCACGTCACGCACAGCCTCATCAATACTATTTTGACGGGGCGGTGGTCGTTCCCACCTCCGATCCATCACCAAACATTCGACGTTGTGTGTTTTTTCTACAGCGCGGTTTCCTACAGAGGTCTGGACCCCTTCCTGGGAGCCAGATTTTCGTGCCGAGTCGTCTTTCGACGGTCTCGGGGCCTGCTGAGGGCCCCTAGAGGTCGAGAATGGCAAACACCGTGTTCTTTTCACGAAGCGAGGAGTTCAGTGTACGAAGATAAGTTGTTCCAGACCGTTCCGGAACGCTCTCATAGCGTTTCAGAACGGTCGCTGTGGAACGGCCACGACGCCCGACGCATCATGCTCAACACCAGCCGCTTCTCAGAGCTTTATTCTTTTTCTCATCCAGGTTTTTTCGTATTCCTGACGCCGTCTTGCAAAACAACTGACCCCTCACAATTCTCGATGATGATGATGCTGATGATGATGGTGATGATGATGATGAAGAAGATGAAGATGACGATGATGATGATGATGATGATGATGATGATGATGATGATGATGATGATGCTGATGATGATGATGATGATTAGGATGATAATGATTTTGACGTTCTTGATGCTGATGATTCTGTTGCTGATGATGATGGTGGTGGTGATGATGATGAGGATGATGATGATGATGCTGATGATGATGATGATGGTGATGATGATGATGCTGATGATGATGATAATGATGAGGATGAGGATGAGGATGATGATGATGATGATGCTGCTGATGCTGATGCTGATGCTGATGATGAGGATGATGCTGATGATGATGATGACGATGATGATGATGATGCTGCTGATGCTGCTGCTGTTGCTGATGATGATGATGATGATGATGATGATGATGATGTTGACGATGCTGATTATGATGATGATGATGATGATGATGATGAGGATGAGGATGAGGATGAGGATGAGGATGAGGATGAGGATGAGGATGAGGATGAGGATGAGATGATGATGATGATGATGATGATGATGATGATGATGATGATGATGATGATGATGATGATGATGATGATGATGATGATGATGATGATGATGATGATGATGATGATGATGATGATGATGATGATGATGATGATGATGATGATGATGATGATGATGAGGAGGAGGAGGAGGAGGAGGAGGAGGAGGAGGAGGAGGAGGAGGAGTACGCAGCCTGGGAGGGATCCGTCGCGCGGCGCGCAAACTGCCACTCAAAAGCGGGGGGAAGATCAACGCCCTCCCCCAGGCCTGCACAGGCGCTCACCCCATGCCCACCAAAGGATCTCGGCGGGGTGAGCGGCAGACAAACGAGCTTGGGAAGATTAGAAGCTCAAATTGGTAAAGATAAACGCGTTTATCAATCGAGTTGCAGCCAGTGCACCTCGGGGTCCGAAACTTGGAGCCTCCTCTGTCCTGAAATGGCCTCACGACGACGCAAGTCCGCAGGATGTCGGTTCGTCTGGAACCGATGAATATGGGAGGCCCCTCGTTTACTACATGGAGGAGGGGGACACAAATCAAGCAGCGCAGACGCACCACCCGTGCTGATGGCCCCACACAATAAGCATATTACAGCCTGGCCAGGAGAGACGTGTAACTCGTGCCCACGAGCGCTCCTGGGTAAGACGTCTCCCGAAACAGGAAGAGGAAACTGCGGCATGACACTCGGTACGCGAGAACCTCCTCTTGGCCCCAAATCGCGTCGAAGCTTCGGGGGCCGCTCGACAGGAGGGTCGGGCGGAGGAGGGGGCGCCTGGAAGTCGCGCGCCGCCTGGTGCAGCGCGCCGTCGTCGGCGGGCGCAAAGCTGACCCCTCTCCCTCTGTCGTGAGGGGGAGGAGCGGAAAGGCGAGCCCGCACCACACGGGCAGGGGAGGGGGAGAGAAGGCGAGCAC